TTTTTTTTTTTTGAGACTTTATTTTTTTTACTCATTATAATGCCCTGAGTCACATTCACGTTGTTGTGTATATAAATGCATCTTTCTTCATATTGCTAGTAGTATTTGATGGTATGGATATGTCATAGCTATGCTTTCATTGTTGCATATTGATTAACAAGAAATTCTTCTGCAGATAATGTAGAGAAGTAATGCCAATATATGTGATTGCTTTAAAGTTATATTTGCTCAATGTTTGTTTCTTTTTTTTCATATATGCACATTCCCTCTTTCATTCATCCACAAAAACTACTGTTTGTGCACCCCTATGTGCCAGCTGCTGGACCAAGTGCTGAGGACAGGCTCCTGGTTTCCCCAAGGACTCTTATAAAATGCTAAGTTTGTAACTTAGAAATAGCTTGCTATCTATCTATTAGCTGACTTTTAAAATTATAATTTTGTTGGAAAATGTGTGCTCAACGTTAGTATTGTTGTTGTTGTTAAGTGCCATTGAGTCGCTTCCAACACATAGCAACTTTGTATAGGGTTTCTGAGGAGCAGCTAGTGAGCTTGAACCGCTGACCTTGAGGTTCAAAAGGCTATGCAGTCTGGCGCATTAACCCACAGCGCCACACCAGGACTACGTAAAGATAGTATGTTGTTGGTTTTATGTGCCGTCAAGTCGGTTCTGACTCATAGCGACCCTGTACAGGGTTTCCGAGGTTGTAAATCTTTCCCAGAACAGAAAGCCTCATCTTTCTCCTGCGGAACAGCTGGTAGTTGCTAACTGCTGACTGAGATTTGCAGCCCGATTCGTAACCACTATGTTATATTAATATTTTAATGTGTATTCTTGAATTTAAATAAATTGGAAGGTTTAGGTTAATATCCTTTGCGTTATCTTAGGAAAGCAATTGCTGAGTGCACACACACAAAAACAGTCTACTTTTGCAAGCTACTGTGCAATTCTGTACTTTTTCCAAATTGAGGTGAGGTTCAGATGGATTTTTACTTGTAACTTGTTCCTAAATTAATGGTTTCTTCTGTTTATTCTCTGCCCTTCTTATTCACTAGCATGAAAAATTAATCAATCGTCCACAGAGTACCAAAAGAATTTCTGCAGATCCTCTAGGTAAGGGCTATTTGCTCTGTCCTCATTATAGTTATGCTTTTTTTGCCTTATATTTGATATATGCATAAGTGAATCCTTACAGAACAAGAGTAGGAAATGTAACTTAGTAGTTAAATAACTTTTAGGTTTGTCAACCTAAATAAATGAAGTCACACACATATAAACAACATAGCTATCTTGAATGTGGCTCAAATTATAGTTGTGGAAAAATTCTTAATAAATATAAACCTTATTAAGTGCTATTTTATTTGCATAACTAGTAACTGATTTATTTGGGAGAACAGACAACCATAGTTTAATCTGGAATACTTAATGTTCATATTGTACATTTTATAGTGTGGTCATTTCAAACTTATATTTGAGGTAATACATTTTAAATAAAGAAATGCTGGTCTAAAATGAAGAAATAAATGTTTAATATTCAGTCATGATTATGCATAATTCAATTTCATAATAATGATGCAGGTTTTGAGGGTAGAATTTGACCTTTGTTTTAACCTGTGAAATCATTATTTTGAGATATATATGAGGAGAATTTTAAAAGTTTGGACAAATTCATAATTATTCATTTAATTCCATTTTTTCCATGAACTTTTTGAGGCCCCTCATATTCATATCGAGTCCTTGTGTGGTTCTGTGGGTTAATGCACTGAACTGTAAGGTAGTTTTGAACTTCAAAATTGGCAGTTCACACTCACCAGCCACTCCGTGGAAACCCTATAGAGGGTCATTATTGTTCAGAACTGACTTGATGGCACTTAACACAACAACAATATATTCATGTATATATGAGCACTGGGATCATAGTAGGTTATGAATTGGGCTGATAACCTCAAGTTCAGCAGTTAGGATCTACCAGACATCCCATGGGAGAAGGATGAAGCTTTGGAAAACATATACAAGGTCATTATGAGTGGGAACCAATTCCACAGCACACAACCACCACTACTATCTATATACTCAGCTATTATACCAATTAGTCCTCCAAATATATCAATGAAGTGTGTTTTCTGTTCCTTCTTTGACTAATGTGTCAGAACCGCTACAGATGGCATAGAATTTCAATTAGGGGTTACCTTTGTGGATCTGCCCAAAATGCATGTTGGTTTTTACTGAAGTTCATTAGAAGTGAGTAGGACAAACCCATCAGCAATAAAAGCCCATTACATTTAAAAACAGCTTCTAACTTTTCAACAATTTTATGTTTCAATTAAAACACAATTATTGCTTCGGTAAATAATCACGATAAGGCACAAATGTATGGTGATTGTTCCCATGAGTACTAGTAGTCCTGGGTGGTTATTATGCCTTGTGTTTGGAGACTCAGAAACACAAGTGGGAGGTATTCATCTAACTGGGAATCCTTTCTGAGGACCCCAGTACCATTAGTGCTGCTGTAGAAAGGAGGGTGGTAGAGAAGGTTAGACATTATGAATGCGATAAAACTATGAAAGATTCAAATGCAAGGTTAAGAAGTTTAGGCAATAGGGAGATTTAAGAGAAATTTAATAAGAGGGACCAACAAGATGAGACTCAACTTTCAAAAGTTCTATCAGTTGTTTACAGCATAAAGTAAAATGAGGTGAAACAGCAGAGATTCTAGTTAGAACTCTGGTTCCTACAATGCTGCAGAAAAGAGATAGTTAGAACAAGATTAAAATCGAGTCAATAAAGCAGGAAACATCTAAGAGATGTTTAGAATTAGCACCAATAGGACTTGGGTGTGAGGAATCTTGACTATATTACATGTTTAACTTACCTAACTGATTGGTCACATTAACTCAGAAAGTGAATAGTGTGAAGGATAAGGTAAAAGAAACAAACGCCATTAGTTGATGATTTGGATTTTAGAAAAATGGGGTTTGAATTGGCTATGCTATACACTAATAAAAATAATTAGCAGATTAATTTGCAGATTTCTCAGAATTTGGGAAGCAAAGCCAAAGATGAATATATAGTAGATGTGGAACTATTTCACAGACAGGAGATGTAGTGGTAAAGGTTAATGAATACCTTGAAGACGCTTAAGAGCAAGCACATAATTCAGTGCAATAAGAAGAAGGAAAGCTAGTGAAAGGAAAATAGATTTGTAATATGAAATAAAGGAGGTGAATTAGATGAGGCAGAGTCATGGAACTCCAGGAAAGGAAAGAAGTGCTTTGTGGAACTCAGTGAAGATTAAAGCTGAGAAACAAGAGCTGTAAGTAATAATTGGGAAAGTTCTAACAGTGTTGGAAAGAAAGGCTTTTGTGGAGTTTTAGCAGATGGTGTAGAACCCCCAAGGCAAAGGTTTCAGAAGTAAGTTGGTAGTGTGGCACTAGTGGCATCAAGTCTACTTTAGACAAAATGCTTTCATAGTGATGGGAAAGTGAGAAGACAGTCACTTTAAAAAGTAGCAGAAACAATGAAAGGGAGAATTAACAGTGTTTGTAAGAAACATATATGGGACCTGTGTTGCAGAGGAGTTCAAGCAATGCTGTGAAGGAAAAGTATTTGATGACAACACTGTAAGAGGATATGGGAGGAGATGGGATCTAGGAAGCCAGGAGGAGTGCTTTTGTAAAAAAGTGATTTTCAAATGGAAATAAGGTTATGAAAACTCAGGTCAAATGTAAAATTAAACAGTTTAGAAAAAGCAAAATACTTTAAAATCTGATTTGTAAGCTTCTAAAGGCTCAAAAGATGTAAAATATGACAGCATTTTCACCATATTTGCTATTGTTTCATAAGGCTAGACAGACCAGAAAATAAAGTCTTGGTGAGCAATTAGGATTGTTGTCGTTGTTGTTAAGTGCCGGTGAGTCGGTTCTGACCCATAGTGAACCTGTATAGGTTTCCAAGGAGCAGCTAGTCAGCTTGAACCACAAATTGAGAAAAATGAATGGTACAAAGGACAGAGCAGCTTAAGTTGTAAGCAAGGTGGTTAGGTGTTGATTAGAAAGCATGTGAGTACAGAGGTACAAACTATGAGACTTATTAGGACTGATTGGATGGCTACTGTTTTTGTGTCTTATGAAATAACTTCAGACTCATAATAACCCTATAGGACAGAGTAGAAGTGTCCTATAAAACTTCATAGGCTATAATCTTTATCAGAGTAGATAGCCAGGTTTTTCTTCCATGGAGTGACTGCTGGGTCTGAACTGCTTTCTTTCATCTAGTAGCTGAACACATAACCATTACAAAATCAGGGTTCCTTGATTGAATGATTGTTATTGCTGTTAAGGTGCCATCAAGTCGCAGCTGACTCATAGCAACCCTATGCACAAAAGAACGAAACATTCCCTGATCCTGGGCCAACCTCACAATTGTTATTAAATTCTGATGATTTTGTGTGTGTAGTTGAGGGCTGACATCGCCTAACTGCTGGCATAATTTATGCATCAGATTATTACTAACTAATAGAGGTATCTTTTTGAGCCTAAAAGTATCCTTTAACACAGTGCAGTTGGTGACCCCAGTCTCAGCATCATCTGAGAGCTTGTGAGAAGTGCTGATTTTTGACTTCACCTTGGTTCTGTTCTGTCAGGCTCTTTGGGGTGGGGCACATCCTCCAAGAAAGGGTCTCTAACACTAAGTGTTCATTGTGTGCCTGCCAGAAGCCCTTTGGGATAACTTGTTGTACTGGCTGGCAGAGGAGCTCTCAGAAGACAACGTGGTGTCTTTGTCCTCATCACTCCCTCTGCGCCGCAGCATCATTCAGCTCATCAAACTCAAGAGCCCTGAGAATCTCACAGAACAGATCCATGAACTTCTTAGCTTCTGGAAGAAATCACTCCCAACTTCTACTGATAAACTTCGCCTTTTGGCTCGTCATCTCCGCAAGATTGGCAGAGGTGACCTTTCAGAAGAGCTCAAATTCAAGTGGGAAAATAAAGTGTTCACAGAACATCAGCAGTGGTTTGAAATGGCAGAGTAAATGTTCGGTTACTCTTACTCTTGACTTAGAAAAAATGGTCACAGTGCATTTTTATGATGGTTTCTGTCAGCATTTTATTAGCATTTCGAAGTAACATGGATTAAAGTGAATCTATTTGGTTAAGAAATCAGTTGAGACAAATGGAGAAGCACAGATAAGACAACAAAGGCATTACTGGGTTAGAGCGTTCCATAGTGGTGGTGGTGGTAGTGTGCCATGGAGTGGTTCAGACTCATACCGACCCTGTATAGGGTTTCCAAGGCTGCAGATCTTTATGGGAGCAGAAAGCCTCATCTTTCTCCTGCAGAACAGCTGGTAGTTTCAAACTGCTGACCTTGAGGTTAGCAGCCTAACTCGTAACCACTACACTACCAGAGCTCCTTAGAGTGCTCCATATGGTCTGCCATTTCTTCAAAAGTAACAACATTTGTAAAAGTGATCCCTCTTTACAATTTAAAAGCTGGGATTGCTGTCTAAGTGAAAAAGAAAATATGATATACAGAATCATCTTTGTTTGTGTGTGTTTGTGTTATCTGCACAAAGTTAAATTACTTTTCCACAACTACAAGCAACTAATTCATATAGATAGTACCATTGAGCGCAAAGAAAATAATACAAAATAATTTGAGCTATGTGTGGTTGTTGTTAGGTGCCATTGAGTCAGAACCGACTCATAGCAACCCTATGCACAGCAGAATGAAACATTACCCAATCCTGGGCCAACCTCACAATTGTTGCCACGCTTGAGTCCATTGATGTTGCCACTTGGCCAATCCATCTCGTTGGGGGTCTTCTTCTTTTTCTCTGACCCTCCACCTTACTAAACATGATATCCTTCTCCAGCAACTGGTCCTTCCTGACAATATGTCCGAAGTATGAGAGACAAAGTTTTGCTATCTTGGCCTCCAGGGAGCACTCTGGCTACACTTCTTCCAAAATGGATCCATTGGTTCTTTTGGCAGCTATGGCACTTTCAATATTTTCCTCCAACACCATAACTCAAAAGCACCAATTTGTCTATGGTCTTCCTTATTCACTGTCCAGCTTTCGCATGTACATGAGGTTATTGAAAACACCATGACTTGGGTCAGGCGCACCTCAGTCCTCAAGCTGACATCTTTGGTCTTCAACACTTTAAGAAGATATTGTGCAACAGATTTGCCTAATGCAATACATTGTTTGATTTCTTGACTACAGCTTCCATGAGTGTTGATAGTTGATCCAAGAAGAATGAAGTCCTTGACAACTTCAATCTTTTCTCTGTTGATAAGAATGTTGTTTCTTGGTCCAGTGGTGAGGATTTTTGTTTTCTTTACATTGAGATGCAATCCATACTGAAGGCTATGCTTTTTCATCTTCATCAGTAAATGTTTTAACTCCTCTTCAATTGCAGCAATCAAGGTTGTATCACCTGCATATTGCAAGTTGTTAATGAATCTTCCTTCAATCCTGATGCCACGTTTGAATTCATATAACCCGGATTCTCAGATTATTTGCTTAGCATACAAGTTGAATAAATATGGTGAAAGAATACAACCTTGTTGTACACTTTCTTAATTTTAAAACATTCAGTGTTCCCATCTTATGTTCGAACAACTGCTTCTTGGTCCAGGTACAGATTCCTCATGAGCATAATTAAGCATTCCAGAATACTCATACTTCGCAATATTGTCCATAGCTTGTCACGATCCACACAATCAAAAGCCTTTGTGTAGTCAATAAAGCACAGGTAAACATCTTTCTGATAGTCTCTGCTTTCATCAAGATGCATCGGACATCAACAATGATATCCCTTGTTCCACATCCTCTTCTGAATCCAGCTTGAACCTCTGGAAGTTCTTTGTCAATGTATGCTTGCAGTTGTTTCCGTATTACCTTTAGCAAAACTTTACTTGCATGGGATAGCAAAGAGATTGTCTGATGACTTCCACATTCCCGTTGGGTCTCTTCTCTTTGGAATGGGCACAAATATGGATCTCTTCCCATCAGAAGAGCTATATACACCTGATATTGATAATAACATGAAATTTTAAGGGTACATTTAGCTTGAAATATACTAAAAGTTAGAATAACATGCCAGTCGTTTATTGCCACTAACTTTTATTTTATAAAAATTTAGCTTGGAATAGGAAAATTATCATATTTGTATTAATAGTGAAATTATTCTAATACAAATAATGAATTTTCAGTGGAAGAATTCAGAACCTGCTTAAACTACTTAGGAAAATCATCTGCTTTTTAAATCAAGTTTTAAAAGAGAAATCTTCTAAGCCTAGATGCTTAAAACACAAGATGGAAGTTTTAGGAAAAATACAAATTAAAAGTAAAATAAACCTGCCCAAACCTTTTCACCCATTGATAATCTCTGCAAATGTTTTAGTGTATAAGCTTTGAGTCTTTGGAAAAGTTAAAGCATTTTAGCTCCCTGATGCAGTGTGTTAGTTTCACCAGCTCATTAATGCAAAACCACCAGAGCTTTGGCATGTAAACATCAGTAGCAATTAATTTCAGTTAGTGGATGCTTGGAAAGTAAGGAAATTACATGAAAAATTAAGCTTTTAGATGTCTCTTGAATTTAAATAAAGATTTTCTCCTACAAATTAACTAGGGATTTAGGCATCTGATTAGTTGTATATTCAAGAACAGAATTCCAGTTTTCAAAAACCAAATCGGAGGAACCCTGATAATCTGTCTTTGAGAAAGCACAACCTGAATGCTCCTCAGAAGTGAGGATGGTCAAACTTCTTCTCACTTACTTTGGACATGTTATCAGGAGGGACCAACCACTGGAGAAAAACATAATGCTTGGTAAAGTATGTTGTTGCTGTAAGTGATATCAAGTTGGTTCCAACTCATAGCGGCTCTGTATAGGGTTTACAACCGGTGGATTTGTTTGAATTGCCATCTTTGTGGTTCATAGTCTAGTGATTATTTTACAATGTCACATTAAGACAGAACCAGTGAAAGAGAGGGAGACCCTCAATGAGATCATTTGACACAGTAGTTGCAACAATGAGCTCAAGCATAGTATACTTGCGGAAACCTTTTGTTCTGTTTGACATAAGGTTGCTATGAGTCCGAAACAACCTGATAGCACCTAACAATTTCCAAACATAAAAGAAATATTTTATTAGCCAAGATTTTTACTTTTTACATATTGCCACAAATATATTGTTTTTCAAGAAGAAAATGAAACTGGCCTTTTATTCTTCACTAGAGAGCCATGGTGGCACTGTAGGATAAGTTCTAGATGTTAGGTCAACAGTCCAAACCCTCCAGTTGGTCTGTGCTGATGACCAGGGGGAAGGCTTGCAGGGATTACCCTTTGGTTGGTTGATGATGCATGGAGGGGATTGTAACCATGGCAATGAAATGATATACGATAGAATGAATGTAAAACTAATGTTCTCCCATGTAAACTATCATATAATTCACAATAAAACATTAAAAAAAGGTACTTGAAATGACAAAGTCATGAGTCTTACAAAATTCTATCATGTGATATCCAGCATCATTTCTATCAATAAGGCCATATTTTCCAACTACTGATCCTTCCTTTTTGTTTCCAACCTTTGCATTCCAATTACCAGTAATTATCGATATATTTTGATTGCATGATTGGTCAATTTCAGACTGAAGATGTTGGTAGAATTCTTTAACTTCATCATCACTGATTTTAGTGGTTGATGTGTAAATTAGAAAAATAGTGGTATTAACTTGTCTTTGTAGGCATATGGATATTATCCTATCACAGACAGCACTGTACTTCATGATAGATCTTAAAATGATTTTTTTGATGACGAATATGACTCCATTCCTCTTCATTTGTATCACTCCCAGCATAGTAAGCCATATGATTGTCAGATTTAGAATGGTCAATGCCAGTCCATTTTAGCTCATTAATACCTAAGATACTGATTTTTATGTTTTCCATCTCATTTTAACAACTTCTAATTTTCCTAGATTCATACTTTATACATTCCATGTTTTTATTATTAATGGATGTTTGCAGCTGTTTCTTCTCATTTTGAATTTTGCCCCACCAGGGTCCTGAAAGTGTACTCCATTGCATCATCATGGTCAACTCATATTTTGATTGCCTTCCAACATGTGGGGCTCATCTTTTGGCATTATATCTGACAATATTAAAATGAAATGGAACACATATCATTGTTTGCCAAAATTGTCAACTGCTCTTTGAAGACTCACTCACAAATAGTTTTGATGAGGAGTTCCCTCTGAGTTATGATCCAGAAGTGTGATATAGAATGATAAGCTTATCTAAGGAACAAGTCAGCTTTTCTGATGTTGCAATAGCAGTAGGTTAGAAGAAGAGGAAACTATTGAGGTAATCAGATGTAGAGAAAGTGATTGATGAAGAGCCCAAGGTTTGAACTGTAGTTTAATCAATCATCACTTATGTAGACTGACCTCATCTGAATACCTCTGTACTCACTTTAGAGGCATTGACAGATTGTACACAATTTACTCCTCAACTTTCTTTCTCTTCTAGACTTCTATTACTGGCCCTCCTAAATCTCTTCACCCAGCACTTACTATGTAAGGCACTAAATAGCTTATTTATTATGATTATTAGTTATTTTCTGTAAACCCCTCCACTTTAGTGCATGTTTTCTCATTTGTTCCCTGAGGTTTTCCTCATAGAACTCTGTCTGGGATTCAAGTAATGTTTTTCTATTGTATTGTTTTTATTTAATGGATGAAGACACTGTAATTCAGAGTTTCAATAACACACAGCCAGTGATAGAACCTGGATTAGAACCTGAGTAGTTCTGTTTCTAAAGCCCTTGTTTCAACTTTATCATATTGCACTCTCTTTCAAAACCATTGGGTAATGGGTTTCCAGGTTCCTTAATTCTCAATATGGGATCAGTCATCAATGGCACCTTATTTTTTCAATATTTGTAACGTTTTTATATTCTGTTGTAGTTGCCTAATTTTCTGTAATTTTCCCAGTTACTCTGTAAGTTTCTTGAGGA